AAGCGGTCTAAACCAAGAAGACTAGAAAATGAAAACTATGCACTAGTAGAATTTAACATTTTCTAAATCTTCTTATTATCCTTCAATTTTTACTATAAGAATAACCGGTATAGAACCAAATATCCGGGATATAATCTGCGTTACATATGTACACAAAGTAAAAATAGATGTCGCTTTGGCTTGTAGACTTTTAGGGAATTATACAACGTTTTCAGTTTCCGCAACTAGTCTATACAAGCTGGTTGTATTTATTTTTTAAGCACATGTGAAGATAGAAATGTAGAGGTTTACAAACGCAACGTTTTTTTTTGTGTTTATTTGTTTGTCGTAACTATGTTTTGTATTTGCCTTTGAAAAAGACTCATTAAGAGTCGAAAGCGCTTAGGCTAGTTAGTTACTAGTTTCGTACTGTTCGTCGTCAGTTTATTGCATCTATTTTAATTAATCCCTGACAAACGTGATCCCTTGGTGGATCCAGTACGCGCTTGAGAGGGATGTTTTCGCCATATGATATATTTATTTTATATATATTACCTACCTATTATATATATTTTGGATCTACCTTTATTGTCATGATTTATATATTTTATTTTCCTGTCCCAGTTAATTATGATTCAAGCATACAACTTTTACCTTTCCTAATTAATTAAAATTTAAGCACATAACTTTCACCTGTCCCAGTTAATTATGATTCAAGCACACAAATAATTTCACCTGTCCTAATTAATTACAAGTAAAGCACACAACTTCAAACACTGACAATTTAAATAAGAGAGATAATGTAAGAGTACTAAGACTGCCGCCAAAAGAGTTGTCTACTCTGTATATTTGTGCTCATGCATTCCACCTTTCTGATTAACAACACAAAACTTGAACACACATGCTATTACTAATAAAATTGAAAACATGTCATACATATGTCCTCACCATGTTTTTGCAGGTGAGATAAAAACTAGAAGCCATCAAAGCAATTTATGTGCTTTGTGATCTGTTTAAATGCCATGAAGGCTGTTAAAAAATATTTTTGGCCTGTCGCTTATAATTTAAACAAAATAGTAAATGCCAATTGTTTGTCAGTTCTGGATGTATTCATAAATCTAGATTCTTTAATTAAATACAAATTTATTCATATTCATATAGTTTGTTTTTGTTTTGCCTATTTGGCAACAATTTTAAATATACACACCTAAATTTATAACACTTTTTATCTTAAACAATGTATTATCATTTCCATTGAAACCTGTGAGGAACTTACGAACAATCTGGCAGTAGGTTTCAAAATGCTTCACTGTCAGAAGTGGCTCAGGAAGTTCACTTATACAACCCTTCAACACATTAGCACAGTCATGTGGAGAAAATAATCCATCATCTAGACGAACATCAGCGCCCTGGTTCATCCATTCCTTCAGGAGTCGCTGTCGGGCCAAATTACCAGTTTTTCTGAATAACTTCTCCATTCTGATATCTGAAATGATTATTATTATTATTATTATTATTATTATTATTATTATTATTATTATTATTATTATTATTATTATTATTATTAATTTTATAAATGGTGTGATACAGTGAAATGTTAGCACTCAGATCTGCCAGCGCATTCTGTGTGGGGTTTTCTGGGTCTGTGCAGTTTGTTAGGAGTAATTAACATAGACCCTGAGCTGTAGGAGCATCATGCTACAGCAGATTAGGATCTTTGTTGTTTGCTGTTTGACTTATTTGTAAACATAGATGGTAGGTGAAATCTAGGCAATCCTTTGAATTGGGCTTTTCACGCATTTTCAGTATTAGTAAATGAGCTGCAGATGTATCCTCACATTATTTTGAAAATTCTCAATGATTTTGTTTCAGTTTTTCTCATTAATATCAGTTTATACAATTATTTTAGCTATTTAAACTCCATTATGGTAACCTTTAACCTTAGAGCTGGACAAATCTGTGTTTTGCTTTTAGTTATTTGGGTCTAATGTTGAGGCCATTTCTATACTTCTTTTTTAATTTTGTATGCTCTAAATAACCCTAAATACTTTGAATATACATAAACATTAGCTGGTTCATGAGAAAACAAAACAGCGTTAGACAACATCTTCAAACCCACATATTAAAACTTCGAATATTCTGCTAATTTTGTTTCTTGATTTAAACCGCTTGGTTAATAAAGTTCAAATGCATAATTAGCTGGTTCATGTGAAAACACAACAGCTTTAAAAAATGTTTATAATTCTCTAAAAGTCTATGAGTCAAAGCGACATCTATTACTTTGTGTACATTTATATAACACAGATTATATCCTGGATATTTGGTTCTATACCGGATATTTTATTCTTATAGTAGTAATTAAAGGATACTAGGAAGATTAAAATAGCCCCCTCATATGCTAATATTTTTATGGGAAAACTGGAGGGTTAGCTATTAGCATCGGTTGAGCATATACCATACCAGTGGGTACGCTTTATCTATGATATAGAAATGAAGTGGCAACAAGGAAGAGAATGTCAGGATGACTGCATATCAAGGACAAACAACTTCCATCCTTCAATAAAATTCACGGCAGAAATTTCTAACTCAAAATATGTCTTTTTGAACATAACCAGACTGGTTAAAAACAAATTACAGACATCTACTCGAAACCAACCGACAAATACCATTATCTCCTCCCAACCAGCTGTCATCCAGAACATTTCATTAGGAATATTCCATATAGCCAGGCACTGAGGATACGCAGAATTTGCTCCGACGATGAAAGATTCATAGAAATCTTTCATCGTCGGAGCAAATTCTCATCACATCACATGTATGATCTGTAGCCTTCAGTACGTCGGAGAAACTGAAATACTACACAAAAGGATAAACCTACATAGATCTGATTGGATGACAAAGAATAAAGAAGCTGTACAGAAGCCCGGTCGCAGAATACGTCTCCTCCTCTGGACACACCTTCAGTGATATAACACTTATCGCAACTTCTAACAACCACAGCTGGAGTTCGGAAACCAGGAAGGACACAGTTTCTTTTCAAACTTTTCTAAATCTTCCTAGTATCCTTAAATTACTACTATTAGAATAAAATATCCGGTATAGAATCAAATATCAAGGATATAACTGCGTTACATAAATGTACACAAAGTAATAGATGTCGCTTTGGCTCATAGACTCTTAGGGAATTAACACATTTTTTAGTATTCGCAACAAGTCTATACAGGCTGGTTGAGACAATGTATTTATAGGTTTAACTTGTGTAGAGACAGCCATGTAGAGTTTTAGAAACACAACATTTTTTATGTTTATTTGTTTGTTTTGTATATGCCTTTGACAACGACTCACTAAGTGTCGAAAGAAAGCGCTCAGGGTAGTTACTAGTTTTGCACTGTTTGTTGTCAGTTTATTGCATGCATATATATATATATATATATATATATATATATATATATATATATATATATATATATATATATATATATATATATATATATATATATATATATATATATATGTGTGTGTGTATGTATGTGTGTGTGTTTTAATGCAGCTAAATATTTTGTATTGCTTCTTCAAATCGCCATTATTAACTAAAAGATATGCAGCAGAATTTATCACCCATGATTCAAGCTGATTAGCAACATAGATCATCGCTCAACAACTAATTGACCCAGATTATCGTTAATCATGCCTTTGTTAACATAAGATTATTTTTTTTAATAATTTTGTAGATTAACTGAAAAACCATTATGATTTATTTGTAATAAATCGTAGAAATTTGTTATTTATTTATTTTTTACCTATTTGACTATGGGTCGGTTTTGAATTGGGTATGTGTCGGCGCTCGTATGTACTTTTGACATGGATATGTTTTGACTTGAGCGCTTTTTGACGAAGGTACGTTTTAGTCAAGGTACGTTTTGGCTTGGTAAGTTTTGACCAATTTCCAGTGGCACATGATGTTTTAATAAATTTCTTGTACCTAATAAAGTCCCTGACCTTTCTCCTCAAACAAAAAGAAAAGCTTTAAATTCAGTTTGGCTGTAATAACACTCCAGTACATCTTTCAAGTAAATTTGAAAACGAAAACACAAACTTATTGTGGAAAATATTAAGAACTGCAAGTCCGAGTATCAACTAATGAGGTGTTTCAAGCTCAGTTACGAAAACAATTCTGTAAATAATTAAATAATTATATTTCTTGGAAATAACAAATGTAATTATATCCCTTGGAAATAAATTAAAAAATTATATTCATTGGAATGAAATAAATAACTATATCAATTGGAAAGAAATAATTAAGTTGCAATATTTTTTTATACCAGCAAGATGTCATTTGGCATGTAAGAGGTGGATGGAGTTGTAAAAAGACGGCATACAAACTTGACGCAGCAGATAGCTTTTCTGTTAAATGGACATTTTATCAAAAATATTCTTAAAACTGTGCATCGATTGTATTAATCGAAACTTTATTTTTAATATCGGTTTCTAAGAAAATTGACTTCAGTTTCCACATTCAGGTTGATAATGGGGGAAGAGTTGGGTGCTGTTTAAGAAAACCACGGTCATTTGATTTCGTGATTATAACATCATCCATATTAACGATGTTGTCTTTTTCAATCATTTAAAGGTGTTATCGAACATCATGTAAATTCGGATAGAGAGAAATTGGGTATCCAATGGCACGAAACAAAAAAGACATTGTATCGGGATTCACAACAGTATCAATTCTGAGGCTCACCTTGCTTTAATGCTTAAATTGTCAGTAAACCTGTACAGCAAGACAATGTTAAAAATTCAGACGTTTAATAATAAAAGCCGATTCATATCAAACAACTTTAGCCTTCGACATGCGAAATATCTTGAAATCTCATTGTATGTTTGATTTGGAATTTCATCGGAGTTAGATTGTCGATATACCAACTGATGTTTCACGAAGCATGCTTGTCAGATTTTATTCAAGGCATCCAGTTTAGGGCCATATGAACGTTTGAAATTCATCGCACTTTTGCCCGACCGCTGAGGTGGCCTAGTATTTAGAGCGCCAGCCTCGGATGCTGAAGGTCTCGGGTTCGAACCCAAGCTGAGTCACACCAAGGACTTTAAAAAATGGTACTGACAGCTAATTTTAAATTGGTTAACGGTAACCTCTGCGATAATTTCGTACAAACAACAGAAACAAGTTTTATTACCACAAGATGACAAAGATATTTGTAGAAAAAAATTATGGCAAATTCACATCAGCGACATCACGTCGTTGTGCAAGATTATATGGATCCAGATTAATTGGACTGTATCATCAAGAACACTGGGGCAAACAGATAAATTGGTGTCACGAAGAAATTAAGCAACACGAGATGGAATAATTCTTGGCACGACCAATTGCTACTGAGACGGCATATCCTCTCAATATACTCATTTGAGGTCATCAATGTTCGCCTACTCATCAATAAACGTATTTTTGATGATCAATAGATCTCTCAATAAGGCTGTTAGAGTCACCACGGATTCTGTTTCTTTTAGTTGTTGTAAATTGGACCTTCGTGAACCATTTATCGAAGAAGACACTAGCGTTTTCAACTGGGGTTCATGGCACAGAAAACATGAGCAAATACATAGATATTCTGAATCCCCTGACGTACAAACACCATATACTAGTTACTTTAATGTAAGTTTATCACAAAAATAATCATCACCGTCAGAAATGATCCAATCACGATCCAATCAATCGCGAGAAATGGCACGGTCTATCTGAATGGTCCAGATGGCTCTGATAAAACAACGCGTGCGACAGAATTATCTAAAATCTCTCACATGATTGTATTGACGCCAAGTTATCAGAAGCCCCGAGTGGCTGAGTGGTCTAAAACGCTCTCCTTTACGGATCACTGCTATCTCACATCTGTCTGCTTGTGTTCGAGTCTAAGATTCGGCGAATGTAGATGTGTGAGAAAGCTTGCCAGTAGCTTCCCATGATCTGTGGTTCTTTTTGCAGATTTCCCGGTTTCTTCCTACACCATTAATACTGGCCGCCATGTATAGCCTATCGTGTGCTGAAAAATGGTTTTAAGCTCCACAACAACAACCAAGTCATCTGCTTGACAGAAAGACGACACAACGAAGTGTCAGCGCATTCACATATCACAGTATCTTTAGATGGCGAGGTGATGCATGGATCCCCGAACGAATAGGTGAAAGTTATATACCGAGAATAATTTTCTGTGATGAGATTTGTAAGTCTCTAAAGATGTTTTAAAAATGCTTCTTGATTGGTTATTAAGATAATCTACGGTATTTATCATGTGTGAAATACTGCCTGCAGTAATTTCTGAGATGCCAATATCAGATTTCTAGAATGTATTGCATCCCAATGATGTAATAGTTGTATCTAGCAAAAATATCAGAGATTCACTGACGGCGATAATTATTTGAGCTTCACAAGGAAAAATTTCCTGATCAGCTAATTCCATTATGTTATCGACCAAAAGATACATGCCTCCAAAATATACTTGATTATATATCAGCGGTGGACACCGGAGTTGTCCTCCAGAAACAAAAACTCGTTTTTAATGATATCGTCGAGGTTCCAATTAAGGCTGTATCAAAGGAGTTGTCGTTAAGCCTAATGTGCTGGACTCTGTGATTTTCGACAACAATTCATTCGTCTCAAGGATTAAAGTAAGAGATACTAATATCTGGATTGTCGATGATCGCATAGAATGGTCAAAAAAAATAATAATTTACCTGGCTGTGTCTGTAGTAACAAAATTATCTCAGTTGCACAGAGTAGTCTACATGTTGGAGTTGCCGACAACGCCACAACGATCAACAACGTCACCAGGAATTATCAACACAGTGAAGAAACACTTAGCTGGTTATGCACGGGATGACAAATGCAAATCACGCCAGCTTGAGCTGGATGTGGAATTGTCATGAGTGTGATAATATTTTCCCAATGATAATTTACAATGGACAAAATGGATAGTAGTCCCGTCAACACACGCGAAAATGTCTCTGACGTGTCTTGAATGTAACAGACGTAGAGGAGCTTCGTTCCTCAACACGTGTGATTCTTGTTAGCGTTTCTTTACGGTGATTGGGGGAGGCCCCCGCTAGCGTCTACTACGTCGTATCCATTCTGGTGGTAAATATTTTTACCCTCAGGAATTACTAGTAATTGTTGACGTACAAATCCAAGTTGAAGACCTATTGAACCTAATTTATATATAGTTGGCTGCGTAGTAGTTCTGACCACGCTGAAAATGTTATGTGTTGTTATATTCTTCACGAGTTTGGTTGCTCTTTCTGCCCCACTCTGAAGTTCACCGGGTTCATATAAAAACATCACAGTTACTTAACTACCCAAGCCTGGTTGTTTCATTTGATCTGGCGATTCTCGTTGTGGTATGTGTATTTTTCGCAGGTTCCATGTTAATTCCACTGGTGACCTGGCTGTTAACGAGGCCACTACATGGTATAGTCTAGGGCAACCCATTGACGAGACCAGTCCTGAACGTGCAGTAATTCTTGAATATATTGATGTGTTTGATTAAATCGTTCAATGATTGCCTGATCGCAATGTATTGAGGTGAATCTACGTCTGATCTTAACGCGCTGTTCTTGCATTAGCGTCGTTACTACACAAATAAATTCTTTGCGAGGATCAACATGTAGCTATCGCGTCTATCGTAGGCTTACATGCGACCGGGGTCCACGTTGATAAATTCGTTCAAACGCTGCTGCGACTTCAGTTGCTGTTTTAGACTATTGCGGGTTTGCCTCTTGTATATTCTTGCAACATTTACGATATTCAACGCATATATGCATGTTCACCTTTTATGAAAGTCATGTGGTAAAAACGATATCTCCGCTACAGCTCGTGTGACACCTACTGCAGCTGAGCTTTTTAATTGCTGCTGTACCACTCTAATATCAGCGAATGGATTGTTATCTCTCAAAAATCTACCCTGTACTTCAGTAAATCCCTCGGGGGATGATATTACTGGATGTGTCTTGGACTTGTAGTTATTTTTGTCAACGTTGGTTCGGTTCTCGTGCTTCATTAGAATAATATGATTATCACGCACGGACTCATCCTTGAGTACTGGTGTGTCCATGGCAAATGCTGGATCAGATACATGTTGGAACATTTTTATTATATTTGCTGCTGTCTAAAACGACATTTCAGCATTAATCAGTAAGTAGTTGATCAGCGATTACGACGGGCAAGACCACTACCCGCTATTCGTTTTTTTTCTTCCTAATTCGTTGGAGGCTTGTTTTGCCAGTATTGACAATACAGCTAATTCTTTCAACCGCTAATTTGCAGTTTTATTTTTTATTTTGATGACACTTGCTTGAATCACTTCGGTGCTCAGTATTTTTACTGGAATGCCTACTTTAGTGCTTGGCAATTTTCCTGGTTCTAGTTTTCGTGTTATTAAACGTGTGAGTCTGTCTTTGACCGCTGAGTAAGCTTTGCCAGCAAGATTACCAACGGCGCCAAACGCTTCATCACAAATAATTTCAATGGCTTTCATAAATAAATGTTTTGCAATTGAAATAGCTTTTGGGGCTATCCTTCTAAATAAACCTTGAATAACAAGTCCATCTCCGTAGATCATTATATAAACCGGAAAAATTGAACTTATCACATTAATGCCTTCAGGTCTGCGTTGGGCATTGTGTATAATCATGTTATTTTGTTATATAATTGATCACTCAAAGCAGCTCGATAGAAAACCTCTGTCCATGATGCCACGATAAATAAACTCTGGCAAATATCAGTTGTTTCATTAATGATTTCATGAGAATTGTTGCCGGGTCATCTTCCTCCAACAAGGATATTATTTGGACAAAGTTTATCTTGAATCAACAGGGATTCAGAGATCATATTACCACCTTGTTACCTACAACGTTGATCGTGAGTGGCATGGCCACTTCTGGTTGCTCCTTCAGATGGTTTATCATGTGAGTCTGGTTGTTGTCACGGTGCACTGATACGGCTAATTTGACGACGTAACCACTTCCTTCTACTTCTTTTTGACACCTGGTGGTTTTTACACTTGGTTTTCCTGTTTATTCTTTCGCTTTTTCATGTTTAAGCCTTATTTCTTCTCGATATAATCATAATGAAATAATATAATGATTGAATTAATTCATTAACAGTGTACAATATCACTTTTATTTTTGATGATAATACAATTTTGATAAATGATGAGAATACAATTCATAATCAGCAAATACCCTAGCTTAAAACAGCAAAAAATATTTATCTATTTTGACGATTTTAGTCTTTCAGATGTTTTAGGAGTATTAGGAAAAATTCAATGATTTTTCTACAGATTCAGCAAGCTCTTAAGGACAAACTCATCCTTTTTGAAATTCAAGTTTTCTTCAATGTAAACCCCAAATTCATGTTGTACAAATAATGGCTATATGTGCCCTATCATTTATGTATGACCACTCGATTGGCTTAAGTGGTTAGAATATCCTCCTCAGATGTAGTAGGTTGCAGGTTCTAACCCTAGCCAAGTTATACTGAAGAATTATAAAATATTTCTCACTTGGGTGCTCAGCATTAATAGGTTAGTGTTAGGTCTGGTGGCCTGGATTATAGGACTGAGTGAGACATGATGCCCCATGTATACAGCCTGATACCCAAAAGCTAGACATCACTACAAGCTGCCACACTGCACTCATTGTTACCTTAAAAATCCAAATCAATTATGTCTGTAAGTGTATGTATTTGTTAGTCATGCAGAACATCTTTTCTACATGAATGGAAAAGTTGATCTAAGTTTGCCTATGAGTGGTTCAGATGGCCATGACCTTTCAAAAAGTGGGCCATCTGTTGGTAAATGTAGTAAAGATAGGACAACACTTTCTTGCTAAACCATGACAATACAAGTTGTGCATTCCGTCTAATGCATACATGACAAATCAAGTTGTGTATTCTGACTAATACATACATGACAAATCAAGTTGTGTATTCTGTCTAATGCATACATGACAATACAAGTTGTGTATTCTGTCTAATATACAAGTTGTGTATTCTGTCTAATGCATACATGACAATACAAGTTGTGTAT